CGTGTCTATGGAGCGGCAATGGATGTAACACTTCAATCTTTATACCATGTACCTTTAACTTTAATGTATATAAATTTAAATAGTGATATGCACACACGTACACACACATAGTATCACACATTCCTGTTGGTATTTTGATAGTTATTATTCTGATTTTTAGGTTTGTTTGGGGGCATATGTGACATTTTGTTTCAGTACTGTGTCTTTTTGTCCAAAAACACATTCTGCCTCTACTTTAGTTCAGATTTTATGTAACCTTCAAGTAGATTTTATGGATGTTAGCTTAAAAGTCTTACCTGTTCTGGCTTTCTCTGAATATTTTATTGAATATATTGCTAACTATGATTGAAATTAAGTATATTTTCTAGTTATTCATTGCCTGTGTATAAAGGTTTTTTATATTTTAGCCATTGAACTATGTGGAAAGCTATTAGTTCTCATAGTTTGCTGGTAATGAAGTGGACTATGATTCTGTGATATTCTATAATGGCATTGTCCGATTGAAATTTAAGTCACATGTGTAATCTCCAGTAATCATTCCTGTACTGGCATCTGTGTATCCCTATGTAGGTGTTCCCTATGGGGGTATGCAATTTGCTGGTACCATATTAGAAAAAAAACAAGTAAAAATAATTTTGGTGATAAATTTTAACCTCATATGTCAAAATACTATCATTTCAACATGTAAACAATGAAATATTAGTAAAATACTTTAAAGTCTCTTTGGTATTGTTTTTAGTATTCATTGTGTATTTTGTATTTATATCACAATGCCATTTAGACTGTAATTCCAATGCTCATTAACTACAGGTGGATATTGACTGCTATATTTGACATGACTGTATTTGCCTAAAAATAATGAATGTTTTTCCTAACTTTTTAATTATTTCTCAATATTTTTACTGGAAGAACCAGTAGTTTGGTGCTGGTATTGATGATATTAGTGTGAATACTTAATAGTGGTTATAGTGTTTGGCTACTGTAGATTGGTATAAAAGTTGTATGTGGAATTTTCTAATTGTGCATTTATTTTAATTTATAAGAAAAATTTGGAAAAATATATAAATTTAAATAGTGATATCTCTTGAGAAGCAGAAGTAAGATTATAGGACTAGGAGCTGAGAGTCTTTAAAATATTTTATATTGCTTAGACAATTAAAAAAATTTAAATAATGACATAATTTTCATCTTATCAAAAACGAAGCAGAAGGTTATTTTCAAATTTTAAACACAAAATACTCTATATAGAGTATTGTATGGTAGGTAATCAGCTTCCTGGCAGCAGCAGTGCTAATTGTGTGCTCTCTTCCCAAGCTGGGCTGTGGACGGTCTTCACACTGGGCAGTGTGGGCAGCAAGGCAGCTGCCTCCACAGAGCTTCCCTCTCCTCTCGCCAACCAGAGCCTCCTGCTTCTGCTGGTGCTGGCTAACCTGACAGACGCTCCAGATGCACCAAATCCCTACAGACAGGCCGTTATGTCCTTTAAGAACACACAAGGTTTGTGATGCTCCCCTCCTTCTAATGAAGAGAGCACTCTTCACTTTAAATTATAAATTATCTTTAATTTTTAGAGATTTGTCAATTTGTTGTTTTCATATTTGTTACAAATGAAAAAAAAAAAAAAAAGAAAAGAATCAGATTTTCCTGTCAACAGCCTCAGCAAGATAAAGTAAATCTTAGAAAAGTGGTATGGCTTTTAGTATCCATTTAGATTTACGTTTTTTGTGAGATAATCAAACATTGGAGACCAAAAGATATAGTACAGTGATTGATTCAAACTATTCGCTTTAAAGTGAAACTCATCTGCATTCATTTCCCAGATTTATTCTTTAAACACCAGTGTCATCTGTAATGTAGGGATTGCAATCTGTATGTCACACAGTTCTTATAATACATGAATAAACTTTTGCTATAGTACACGCTCACCAAATCCTTTCTGTTACTGTAAGAAGCAATGTAACACAGAGGCTGCTCCGGGTTTTACTCAGGACTGATTAGGGAAAAAATTACTTAATCTTTCTAAATCTCTACTTAATTCTTTGTAACACTGGTCAGAATGACATGGTTGTTGCACAGATTAAAGAATAGTAGGTGGAAGGCATTTATCTAATACTGCAGAAATGTTATAGATACACACACCACACACATTCATTAGTGCAGCCAAGTGTAATGCAGGTGGTGGTTGTGCCGCTTTGCTTCCATTGTGAAGAAGCGTAGTGTCCAGAGTCTTCCTCAGTGAGTCTCATGTAGATTCTCTAATATTTACACACTCATAGTGTGTATCAACACTTCTTTTTGACATCCCTTGCAAAACTATGAAGTCAGCCTCACAAAGAAATTTTTGTTAGTGTCACAATGTTATGATTGAAAAAAATAACCACCATTTCAAATGTAGAAGGAAAAGTTAAGGTGTTGTGTAGCTAATTTGCAGGTATTTGTAGATGCATTTCTCCTAGAAACCCGAAGCAAGGGAGGACAGTCTTAGAAGCACAGGGCTGCCAGGGTTCATTTGTGTTGGGACAAAGCTCTTTTCCATGAGGACAGCTTTTAGAAATGGAAAGGCAGATTAGTGTGGTCTTTATTTTTGTTTGTTGATGTTGGATCTTTTGTTTTAAATCATTTTTAAAAATTGTGCTTATTTTTCAGAACACATGAAAATATTTGCTTTGTATTCTCATATTCTATGTTTTATCTGATGATATTATGACTTTCTCTGAGTCATTTGAACTTGTGTATATCTGTTTTTTTTTTTTAACTTCAGTTTTTTTGCTTTGATTTCTAAGCAAATAGTATTAACTGTAGAAAAGGGGCTATGCTAGTTTTAGAATACCAAGGATTTTCCCAGTATTGGTTCTTGTTTATGCTTGTCATCATTCTAGTAGTTATCCTTTTGTTTAAAAAAAAAAAAGTTTTTTAGAAGTTGTACAGGGCCGAGGAGATAGCTCAGTGGCATAAGTGCCTGCCTGGCAAGCCTAAGGTCCTGAGTTTGATCTCTGGTACCAAAAAAAAAAAAAAAAAAGAAGTTGTAAATAATTAGCTTTTAAGTTTTCTTTTAAACAATAAACTTAAAGAAATTTTCTGGCAGTTGCCTTAGGTTTAGTATGTTTCGTCCATTATGGGACCTAATATTGAACATATATACTGATTGTGGTATTATTTTAAAAATAGCTGAATTATTTGTTGTTTTAGCTATTTTCTGTAGAAAATTTTATTTATTTTGAAAATTTTATTTATTTGAAGTAAGTGAATTTAGCTTCAAGGCAAGTTTTTGTTTTGTTTTTTTGAGACAGAGTTTTGCTATGTAATCCATACTGGTCTGAAACCCGACGTCATCCTGCCTCAGCTTCCTCATTATAGGGACTGAAGCCATGTACCACTTTGCCCAGCAAGGTTTTTAAAAATCTTATCTTAGAATACGATTTCTTGGTTTATATAAAAACTATATTCATATATATATATATATATATATATGAATTCCTTATATAGGACTAGTCATGTTTGTTCTGGGAAAAAGGTCTCAGTGCCTGATTAAAATTACATCTTTTTTTTTTTTTTTTTTTGGCGAAACCAGGGATTGAACTCAGACCCTTGCGCTTACCAGGGAAGCACTTATTCTACCGAGCCATCTCCCCAGCCCCTAAAATTACATCTTTTAGAGGGCTTATGAACCATAGTTGTATTTAGATGCATACTTTTGGCTTTATATGAGAAAACAGTAACAGATTGTGGGACTTAGTTTTTAGTTCTTAAGTTTAAACTACAAATTTAAAATTTCACTCAGAAATGTAAGGATTTTATGTAAAATTAATGGTAATTGGGATAGAACCATTACTCTTATAGGACTTATTATTTATATAAAAACAGTCTAGAAAATAGTCATTTTTTTTTTTTTCACTTCATGCATGTCTTCTGTCTTCTAGATAGCAGTTCCTTTCCCTCATCAGTTCCACACGCCTTCCAGATTAACTTCAACAGCTTATACACAGCCCTGTGTGAACAGCAGACGTCTGACCAGGCAACACTTCTGTTGTACACACTGCTTCATCAGAACAGTAATGTCAGAACATACATGCTGGCTCGCACGGATATGGAGAATCTTGTAAGCATCGTGTTGAACATGGCATGCTTTGTGTACTTTGTAGAACTTTTCTTGCCCTGTATTTTAGGGAAGGGTCTACAGGGTGTTCAGGGTCTCACTACTTGATTGGACTTGTAATGATTCTCCTGTTTACAGCCTTCCAACTGCTGGGATTACAGGTGCGCACCACCTCGCCCAGTCTCAGTTTACATCTCAGTGGGCCCCGGGGACAGAGCCGGCATGGCAGGTCCAGGGATTGAACCCTGGGCCCCTGCATCTACTTGCATGTGCTTTAATCTGCTTACAGGTGCTTTAATCTGGGCAGCCCCTTAAATTTTTTTTTTTTTTTTTTTTTTTTGCGGTACTTGGGATTGAACTCACGACCTTGCCAGGCAGGTCTCCCAGCTCCACTTTGCAGAACTTTGAAGAATAATTTCTCTGTATTTTAAAGAGAAAAAATAAAAATGATGTAGAATTTCAAATCAAGGAAATTAACAAATTAACAATATTAAAGTATTGTTATCTTCAGAGTAGTTGCTCAGTTAACAAGATATAGGCATTCAAGATTGATCAAGCAATTTAAGCACCAACAGGTTCATTAAAGTCAACTAAAATAAATTATTAT